ATGTTAGGTATTTCGAATAAAATGTTAGGTGTTTAAAGCTGAAATATCTTGGAGAAATCTGTATTATCTATTGTCTCATTTCCCATCTAAATGTCTACCATTATATCTAATTTCTTTTTATTTTAATCATTAGTTGCAATACAATGTTAGTTTTCAATTAAATAATTTGAATCTTCTAATCCAAGCATGTCAAACTGGCGGCCCATAATAAATATTTTTGCAGCCCAGCCAATATATCGGTATGTAAGAAACATTTTAATAAAAATTTCATAACTTAATTTTTACAATATTCTGTATTACATAATTATTAATAACAAACTACAATGTTCCCTAATGACTGATTACTATAATCATGCTGCATTCATTTTCCTTACTTGACTTATGCAAAGGCGCAGCATTTCTCTCCACATGCTCAAAGTCACCCACCAATCATTGTAGGAGGGTTCCTTTTTCTCCACATCCTCACCAGCACTTGTCATTTGTTGGTTTGTTGATGATAGCCATTCTGACAGGTGTGAGATGGTACCTCGTTGTTTTGATTTGCATATCTCAGATGACTAGTGACTATGAGCATGTTTTCATATGTCTCTCAGCCTTCCTTATGTCCTCCTTCGAAAAGTATCTATTTAGGTCCATTGCCCATTTTTTGATTGGGTTGTTTATCTTCTTTTTGTTAAGTTGTATGAGTTCCCTATAAATATTGGAGATTAAACCCTTATTGATGATAACATTGGCAAACATGTTCTCCCATGCAGTGGGCTTTCTTGTTGTTTTGTTGATGGTTTCTTTTGCTGTGCAGAAGCTTTTTATTTTGATGTAGTCCCATTTGTTTATTTTTTCTTTAATTTCCATTGCCCTAGGAGCTGTATCGGTGAAGATGTTGCTTTGGCATATGTCTGAGATTTTGCTGCCTGTGGATTCCTCTAGTATTTTTATGGTTTCCATCTTATGTTTAACTCCTTTATCCATGTTGAGTTTATTTTTGTGTATGGTGTAAGTTGGTGGTCTAGTTTCATTTTTTTGCATGTGTCTATCCAATTTTTTCAACACCATTTATTGAAGAGACAGACTCCATTGTATGTTCTTGCCAGTAGTTAACTTACAGAAAGAGAGACTAAAAAAAATCCCATTTACCATCGCACAAAAGAAATTAAGATACCTAGGAATAAACTTAACTAAGCAGGTAAAAGGCCTTTACTCGGAAAACTACAGGACACTGAAAAAAGAGATAGAAGAAGACATAAACAGATGGAAGAACATACCGTGTTCATGGATTGGTAGAATCAACATCATTAAAATGTCCTTACTACCCAAAGCAATCTATAGATTTAATGCACTCCCCATTAAAATATCAACAGCATATTTCACAGACCTAGAACGAACTCTCCTAAAATTCATCTGAAATAGAAAAAAAGACCCCGAATAGCTGCAGCAATCCTGAGAAAGAAGAACAAAGTAGGTGGGATCTCAATACCAGATATCAAGCTGTATTACAAAGCCACTGTTCTCAAAACAGCCTGGTACTGGCACAAGAACAGACATATAAATTAATGGAATAGAATAGAGAAACCAGAAATCAACCCAAACCACTATGCTCAATTAATAGTCCACTAGAGATTTTAAAGAACAAAATAGATGGCAAATTTTTGGAAACAATTTTGCTATAATTCAACTTTAAAGCAGGAAAATAGTGGCATTTTTCTGTCCTATTATTGATGTGTAACTTGCTCATTTTCATAGGAATGATATTTCTAAGTTTTGTGCCTAGAAAAAATTACTTAGGTTATTTTAAACCATAACTGATGTGCCCAAATTATTTCCACTTTAATGTGCTATTTTGCAAATTTACAATGATCTTTTATCATGTAAGTTCTTAGAATGAAGGCACAGAAAATGTGTATATACTAATCTTACATGTTGATAAGTCACTATTCTATAATAACATATAACATTTTTATCTTATTAAGGCAACATTGGCTCAAAACTTGATATAATTTTCAGGTGTACATTACAATTCACCATCTTATATACTACAAAGTGTCTAGTTTCCATCCATCACCACAAAGAGTCTAGTTTCCATCCATCACCACACAATTGACCCTCTTTACCTATTTTGTCCTCCCTCCACCCCTTAACCCCTCAGGGAACCACTCATCTGTTGCCTGCCTCTCTGTTGTTTTGTGTTTGTTTGTTTGCTTAGTGTTTTTGTTTGTTTGGTTGGTTGTTATTTTTGTGTGTGTGTGTGTGTGTGTGTGTGTGTGTGTGTGTGTGTGTTTGACTTGGCATGCCAAAGTAGGGTCTCTGAAAATTGTGTTTTGCTTTAATATTAAGACATTCTTTGATGATTGTGAATGTCTTCTATCAAGTAGTTAATGCAACAAATTTCTGAAGCCAACATTTCTGCTTTACTAAAGCTAGAGCTGTTTTGAAAGTCAGATGAGAATTCTACTGAATCATATCAGAATCTTTGAGGGCATGTATCATTTCAAAAGGAAATTAACTAGTAGTTAAGTTGTGGAAAGGCAGGTTTTAGAACATGTGCTGGATTCTCTCAAATGAGGGGTGATGTGAGTTGCTAACAAACTCTCTAACAGTGTGGATTTTTTTTAAGTGTCAAACATATTTCTGGTCACTTTGGTAAAAGTAACTCATTTCTCAAATATGTGAGCTGTAAGCAGCTTTGCCAGAGAGAAGGATTCATACAAGTTTATTAAATTCAGTATTTGTTTATGTTCCATCCCCAATCTGATATGCTAAAGCAAAGATACAGGTATTTGAAGATCATGGGAAGTAAAGAAATTCATCATGACAACAAAATAGAAATATTCCATTTCCTCATACTCATCAGCAGAGTTCTCAGACATGAGGTTGGTGGCAATAAAACCCAGTCAACAAAGGTATGTGAAAAGGACACTATATTCTATTAAACACAAAACACTAATTTACATCACATTACTGTCAATAATATGTTAAATACTACTGTGTAATATCTGAAATATAACATAATATTTAAGGGGTACATATTAAGAGAATGGGTGGCAAACAATTCAGTATCAATTTGTGTTATAAAAAATTCCTAAAAGAATAATAACAATTCTTAAAAATGCATAGGAGGCATTTGTGCATATACTTTTAAAGCATCCTCAATTTATGATGATTTAATTGAATTTATAAAAAGTCTCCTGGAGATAAGTATTCTGGAAACATTCCAAAGGGAAAAACAAAACAACAAAAATATAAGCTGATACTATGTGCTTTAAGACTTCTACAAATTGTGTGTGTGTGAAGGAGGAAGGGAAAAATGAAGTGAGAGAGAGAGAGAGAGAGAATAAATATTTCATTAAGACACAAGTAAAGGACTTATTAAAACTGAGGCTGTAAAATGCCAATATAATTTACATTATCTGATACATTTCAGTCATTGTTAAGACTTGGGAAAGTAGAAAATACATATAATAAATAACATGATTTCTAGACTTCATAAGCTAGTTGTTTTTAAAAATTGAATGATTCCAGACTTTTAATTTTGTTATGTTTATTCCTTTTAGGAAATAATTTTATTGGTTAAAAAATTTGGTAGGGAGAAATATTCATATTATATTAAAATTTAAATGTTTTTAAATATTTTTACAATGTATTTTTAAATTATGGTTGACATACAATATTACCTTAGTAAGTTACTATGAGTTTACTGACTATATTCCTTATATTTTATAATACCTCCCAGTAATTTATTTTATAACTGGAAGTTTGTAATTCTTCACTCCCTCTAGCTTTTTCAAATAAAAAATTATAAGCATGCATATTTATATAGTTGATATACTTAAACATCCAAAGTATTTAGAATTTTAATAGAGTATTATTTGAACATATTTTATGTTATTTGATACTGTAAATACACCCAAAATATCCATATTACTAAATTTGCAAGCATTTTATATAATGTCTGCTATACAAATATAGTAAGTTAATTCATAGAGTTCAAGTTAAATTTATATAATATAAAGAAAACATTTACCATTTTATTTAGATATTTTTTATTATTTACCTCTTCCTGTGTTTGTTGTTGATTTTTTAAATATATGTTAGTTACAGATTTATTAAATCCCTTTGACAAAACTTCATTGAATATTTTATCAAAATTAGTAGCCTAATTGAAATTATTTTTAACAAATTAAAATTGAAACAATATTACATGTCAATATTAACACTTTGCATTTTGTTAATTTATACTTTCATGTGATTTGTATTTGATAAATTATATTTTTATTATATATAATGAATATAATATATTGAAAATTAATATGTATGCATGTTTTAATATGTATGTGTTTATATTCATAATATACTCAGTTTACTTTTATTAGAATTAGTATTATAACATTCTTAGTTACTTAAGCTTTTGGTTTTCAGAATTGTCTAATGTCAATGGAAAGTTTGATAGAAAAAGAGGAAGAAAAGTAAATATCTGTATGTCAGATTTGATAATAGATTGTCCTTCAAAGAAACATTTAGATTTATTTTGATATGCAGAAAGCACCACACTGAATATCATTTACTAAAAATAAATAATTTATCATATTAAAATATTCACTCTGTAAATAAATATTTCCTTCATATCTTTAAGGTTGACAACTTTATTGTTCACAACATTTGACAGTACAGAGTAATGCATGATAAATTAAAAACCAAATTCTAGAGAAAGAAAAAGATGCAGTAGTGAGTGAAACCTACCTCCCAAGAAACAATGTTTCGAATGTTCTAGATGTGAGCAACTTTTCATTTTCCTCAATCTCAATGGTAAAGATGGCAAATTGCTCTCACACATAGTTGTGTTAGAGAAAGTTCAATATACATGTCACAGGTTTAAAATTTTAGAATTTTTTCTTTCCTTTGTGAAGTGCAAACTCGCAAAGAGCTTTTCAAAGTACTTTTTGCCCCTATAGTCATTTAAAAAAAATTTATATAGTTCAATATATGCCTCATTAACACATTCTTACCTGTGTCTCTTCAAGTTCAAGGAATTCTGTGGAAATTAACATTCAAAGTTCATGTTTACCACATGAGAAATGTTAGAAGGGATCGTTCTTGCATTGCTTCTCTGGCTTCTCATCCAAACTGCATGAGCCACATTGCCCTGAGCTGGCTTTAAGTACTGTCATGTCACTGCTTAATACTGAACGCTATTTTGGTTTCAGTGTGTAAAACCACACACACTGAGCCCTTTGTGTGAAATATCATAAGGTCTCTCTGCTGTCCACTCATAGTCTGGAACTCAAATGCAGACAGCTCCAGCAAGTAGTATGAGCTGATTATATTTGTTTTTTCCTTTTTTCTAACAACAAACAAAAAGAAAAAATAAATAAAGTACTTATTGGTTTGAGGTGATAAAGGGGAGATGCAACGTATGTAAGAATTCTGCAAGTGGAAAGGTCATGCCTCTGCTTGGGGGTTAGCTGATGAAACAAATGACCAATTTAAAGTTAGCAGGAAAGTTACTAAAAAGAGAAGAGCTTTTCCATTGTGTCTGTGTCTTCTGGCTGCTTCTTAATTCAGTCTTTCTGCTCAGAAATCAGTAACACACAGAGAGAGAGAAGGCAGTGTCTAAACTGTAATCCTCCTCCTTTCCTGGGCTTATTTACTACCCAAATATACTGATTTCATGAAATGTATAATTAGATTTTGTCATAAATATTATTTATTGTAAAATACATAATATTAAGTGTTATGCTGTTTTCTCAAGCTGTGTTTAGTTAAAAGTAATTTGTACCAGAACTTGAACTGTTTCCTAAGGTCAATAGGAGGTAACCACTGAAAATTCCCACATTGTAACCAATCACTGAGAACAAACATTCCCTGCCCCCTCACTCTATCAGCGGCTTGATAACAATACATCCCTGAGCCACATGCATGTGTCAGTCTGAATGCTCCCAGTTTACACACTGTCTTTTTGATGTGTGCACAATAAACTTAGATTAATTCCTAAAAAGAACAATAGTTTTCAAACCAATTCAGAGAGAGGTTAAAAATATTGTTACAGAATTTACCAGGAGACCAAAAAATACGCAGGAGTACTGGAGGCACAGGAAAAACACATTCATTTCCAGATGTTTCATAGGTACCGGTACAGTGACTGAGGGGAGACTGTTTCTCTCCAAGTCCTGAGCAAGCCAATATGGAGGAAGGTTTCCCTGTATACTTTTCGATTTCTTTGTCCCCCAAATATGGGATGGAACTTCGGGACCTTTCGCGGGCTTTGCCAAAAGCCCGGTGTGTTGGGCTGGGGGCTGTAAGACCACATCTAAAGGCCTGGCCTGGCGCCAGTGCTGATAACTCCATCTGGGGGTTGTGTATTGTTCATGGTTTATGGCCTCTCTAAAGTGGGAGCAGTACTTAGCTAAACAGGTCTTGCAGGACCAGATAATTAAAGAAGGGGCAGTGACTATAGGCTAACAAGAATGTGCACTAGGTTACTGGCACAGATTCAGATTGCTAGCCCCCCAAAATGCCTCCTTTTCCCCATCAATATGAACAGTGTCTAAAACTATGAATGTCTATATAACTTAACATTTTAAGTTATATAAATGTACAGTTATTGTAAGCAGTGGTTCTCAACCTTCTGGCCCTTTAAATACAGTTCCTCATGTTGTGACCCAACCATAAAATTATTTTCGTTGCTACTTCATAACTGTAATGTTGCTACTGTTATGAATCACAGTATAAATATCTGACATGCAGGATGGATGGTCTTAGGCGACCCCTGTGAAAGGGTCGTTCGACCGCCAAAGGGGTCGCAACCCACAGGTTGAGAACCGCTGTAAGGAGACAGCATCAACTCGAGTCCTACAATATTGGGACTATAAGCATGTGCATTGCTCTTTTATCATAAGAAGGGAAAGATAGTAGCAAAAGGGTTACAACTAATGCTGTGAGAATGAAATGCAATGCGGTCTGATTTATGCTTGTTTCATTTTTTTGAATTCACAAAAAAACCCACAAATTTTATTAGTTACCATTTGTTAAATAAATGTTCCATACCTCTGTGACATGTGGAAAACCAAACAGAAGTTAGCTTTTTTTTTAAATCGTGGTAGGAACACAACATAAGATCTATCCTCTTAACAAATTTTAAACTGTACAACACAGTATTGTAAACCATAGGCACAACATTGTACAACACATCTCTAGAACTTACTCATCTTGCCAAACATTATACCCATCAACCAACCTCCCATTCCCTCTCTATCAGGCTCTGTCCACCAGCTTCTCCTCTCTGCTTCTGTGAATGTGACTAACTCAAATGTCTCATGGAAGTGGAATCATTCAATATTTGTCCTTCTGAGGCTTGTTCGTTTACTTAGCATAATTTCCTCAGGGCTGTATCCATGTTCCAGAATACGCAAGATATGTGAGAATCTCACATTTTACAGGATGTGGCTTCTTGCTTAGATACAATTTCCAGCCCCACTTTGGATTGCAATGACACTTTTGAACCTGAGAGGTCGCATTCAACATCATGTCTGGAGAGCTTATTTTATGGCATAAGGGAGCAAGTGTGGGCCAGATTGCTACACTGATTGTTACAATACCTTACAAAATCCACCAGAACTGTAGATACTACAGTGAGACAGGATTATGTTTCAATGGACAGTCTGGAACTCTATGTTTTATGTAGGACACCATTAACAGCAATTTTTTATTTCTTTAAATGGAAGATGTTTTTATAAAACACCTGTGTAAAGAAACCAACTAGATTTGATTTTCAGATAGCCTCCAAGTACTTTAAAATTTAAATTACTCAGCAAGGATGTTGTCTGCCCTGGAGGACAAAAGGTGATTCACAGCAGACAGACTGGAACCCAGCAAGTCTATACAACTATGTCACAACCAAGAATGTAGACGACAGGACTGATGGGAATAGGAATCATACCAGCTGAAGTCTTTTTCAGCTATGGGAGGAGAAAGAACTTTTGAAGAGTGGATGGAACATGACTGTATATGAAAGGAGAGTCTCAGAACTAGTACACCACTACTCACAGGAGAGTCAAAGCCATTGCACTAAGGGTCTCTGGAGGTCTCCATACCATAGAATAAACACCTGAGAGGTGGACGGTTCCTGAGATGCTGTTTCATAGCTACAGAGAAACATTCTGGTAAGCAATCCACATTCTCATGCAACCTGGGGGAATTCTACCAACGTCATCCGCCAACAGGGTGACCAAGAGAGCCTGAAGTTTCAGAAGCCTTCAAGCAAGAAATGTACTGAGTAAACCTAAGGGTTTGAATTAAAATATAATAATTCATCAATGCTCTGAAGAGCCAGCATTTTTTATAAACCAGATATTTGAGAAATGTAAATCTATTGATTAACTGTACACTGGACCATCTAATAAATCTCAGATATAATGTAGGCAGGAGACAAAAGCCAAACATCACTCAGATTCTTTGAAGATAAACGTTTTCCTTGAAAATAAACGTTTAAGCAGAAAGCTTATGTCTACCTGCTTCACAGCCTTGACTATCCAGATACCTTCCATTAAATATTCAGGTTTCATCCAATCATTGTGTGCAGGATGATAGAATCTAAGGTCTACATCATCACCAGTCTTGGGCATAGTATTTCTCAAATTAAAATTATACTCAGACATGTTTTTTGAAAAAAAATTGTGATATATTGCCCTAGCTGGTTTGGCTCAGTGAATAGAGCATCAGCCTGCAGACCAAAGGGTCCTGGGTTTGATTTTGGTCAAGGGCACATACCTTGGTTGCAGGCTCCTCCTGGCCCCAGACCCATGCAGGAGGCAACCAATTGATATGTTTCTCTCACATCGATGTTTCTCTCTGTGTTCCCTCTCTCTTCTACTCTCCCTAAAAATCAATGGAAAAATATCCTTGGTTGAGTATTTTAAAAAATTGCACTATATTAAGATAGAATAATTTGCCCTGATTGTGTTCTCAGTGGTTAGAGCATTGCCCCCCGCCCCCCGCCAACCCCCCTTCCCGCCCACACACACACCCTCCAAAGGGTCTTGGATTTGATTTCCAGTCAAGGACACGTACCTGGGTTGCAGATTTGATCCCAGACTCAGTCAGGGTGCATGCTGAAGACAACCAATCAATGTGTCTTTCTCACATTGGTATCTCTCTCTCCCCACCTCCCTTTCTCCCCTTCACTCTCTCTAAAATAAAATAAATCTATTGAGTATAAACAAATTTTTTTAAGGAGATAGGATAATTTGAAAATGTATTTGCTGTATGGTATCACTGTATTCATTAGGATTTTTGAAACTGCCATATAAAAACTAATACAAAACAAAGTCCCCAAACGGCTTAAAGAATGAAGAAATTTGACACATACATAGAAAGATAGACTTGGGATTAGTTGATTCAGTGCCTTCACAATGTAATTAGTTATCCAGGCCCACTTGATCTCTTCTTGTGCTCAAGAGTAAGTAATTTTTTCCAAAGTGCCCCCAAAGCACTCTATGTTTGTGTTATTGACTAAATTAATCATTTGTCCATATGTGAGCAAATTATGCCAAAGAGAAAAGCTTAGAGAACCACTAAGCCATTCCTGCACCAGGAAGTAAGAACTACCTGTTGGAGAAACTTGACTCTAGTTATAAACCAACAGCATTCACTGTAAGTATTATTGGTGGGGAGAGGTCTACATCCCCACCTGTTGCTTCTGGGGTGGGCTTCTTGTCATATCCTGAGAAAAGGAATTTTCTGAGACTCACATGGGAGGGTGAAGTAGTGAAGAAGGCTTTATATCTGTGGAATGACACCCCCTGAGTTTCTAAGGGCCCCTCTCTCACCTACCAACCATGGAAGAAGTGTCGCTGTGACTTCGATAGGCTAAAAGAAAGGCCAGTGTCCAGAGTTCCCGTTCCACGTTAAGGCATAGTCAAATCCAGCACCAGGCTAGCTAAGTTTGTGTTTCCATCTACAGTCCATCAGTCCATTGATGACATTGCTATGTGACTATGGAGGGAACACAGGCAGGAGCAAAGCCAATTCCATTTGTTTAACAAAGAGCTGAGAGAGCCAAGAGTCAAGAGCCAAGAGAGTGAACTTCTTTGTTTAGGGGATTTTGCACCCCCAAATTTTCC